ACAAAACTCGAGACAAGAGAAGCAAAATGCATACGCAAATACAAAAAGTAATACGAAAACGTGCAATGTGAGTGCGCAAAATCAATTCACGGTAAAACCATATTTGCGTCGCGTCAAATATAATAAACAAATAACAATATTAACAATAATAATGTACTGGAAAGCAAAAAACTGCAATCAGCGGAAATTCCTCGACTTGGGAGCCAACACACACGTTATACGTAACATGATGACAAGCTGACAGGTAAGTCCAAGTTCTCCGCCATCTAACACAAACAGAGAGGAAGGGAGAGAGAGAAAATACTATATAGTTAGTTTTGTTCAAACTAAATAAAGATTAAAAATACAATTATAAGCTCAAGGAATGTAGTATCTAAACATTGCAAATTTAAGTCTATTTATTATGAGGAACATTTTTAGTTTATGGCTGATTTTATTTCTTAAATATTGCCTTAAGTAAGAAAGTGCATCTAATATTTCAAAAAAGATCAGTCTGGCATCGTAGATTTATTGCTTAAGATGAATTTATCTTATGCGATATCTTATAAGCCTTGACATAACAAACTATGCGCTCTGTAATCTTTGATATTCTCTGGATAGCGGATTTCCAATTTAAAGGCAGGAACATTTTTAATTTTATACAATTTAAAATATTAATAACAAATGTTTTCTCTCCTTGAAATCGGATTACAAAGAACGGAGAATTGAGCAATTTTTTTTATTGCAAAATTTTCATCATATTAGTAAATAAAAATAGCAGAAGCGAAATTTCTTTTAATATTAGTGGATTTTAGGCCAGAAATGAACTCTTCTTAAATAAATTTCTGCTTAACTCTTTAAAAATTATCAATTAAGTTGTAAGTTCCTAATCCAGATTTTATGTGGAAAAGAAAGTTCTTGGGTTAGCAACTATTTCTGCTTGTTTATGTTATCGCTCTTAGTCCATGCGATGTTCCTGTTTTATCTGCACGTAATGTTGCTACCAGATAAGAAAAAACCTTGTTGCCAGCTTCCCCCTTGTTAGAACGTGTGCAAAATTTGTGGGCCAGTCGGGCTCGGCCGGTCGGTTGGTCAATTGGACATAAGCACTGATAAATTCGTCTAAGCTAAACACATGTCAGGCGAGTTAAAATGGCTGCCAACACCAGAGCTCTGGTCAATAACTCTGGAGCGCACACGTTCTGCCGAATCATGCGCTATGTTGTTTTTGTTATATTTGTTGTCATGGTTTACGGCTCATGATAAATGGCCCAAAATACGAGTTTTAGTTAGAGTTCTGGCTAGTGCATGATGCGCAGTTCTCAGACTCTGAATCGCAATCAGAATCAGAATCAGATTCAGACTTGGCCTCAGAGTTCTTAAAGTCAATTACGAGCGTGTGCATAAGTTTCAAGTTTACATGTGAGTCGACAGAAAGCGGGTTTGTTGAGTGTGTGGGGAGGTGGGAGGGTCAACTATCTTATCAGCGTAACCACAGAGGCACACATCCGTACCTAATTATCTGTGTGTGTCTGTGCTTATCAGTGTGGCTCAGAGCAACCCCAAATGACAATTTCATTTAGCACTGCCGTCGATTGCATTCGCTGATAAGCAAATTAGCTTGCAAACTGGCCTATAATTGAGTTTGTGCGATTTTCGGGGGCGTAGCCACACAGCAGTAACAGTAGATGGCGAAGCGTGGAAAACAAAAGAAGAAAAACTTCTAAGCACTTTAGCCGACTGACTGGCTAACTACAGTATGCGAGCTCTAGCCGCAGGCGGTTCTCACATTTGTTATGGCCAAGCCAGCGAACTGGGCGCACACATACACACACAAACACACACACACAAAATATGAACGCTAAAAATCATAATAAAGAAAAGTGCCTGCAAAAAAATTGCTTAAAAATGAAATGAGAGCTGCTGAGCTCTGTGCGGATGAGCTAAGGTGAGGTGAGGCGTCAGGTGAGTTGACCAAAAAATAGACAAGAAAAATAGAAGGCAGGCAGGCAGGCGGCACACGAAATATTGGGAGAAAAAGAATTTCTACTTATAACGAGTTTTTATTACAAACGCGCGAAAGCGGAGCACAAACACAAACTCAAACCAACAGCGGCAACACCAACACCAACAAAAAAAAAGTATTAAAAAAGTAGTAAAAATAAGTAAAAATGGCCAGCCGAGCGGCGACGACGTCTAACTGAATTCCAAAGGCCCAACTAGGCACCGGGCTACATAAAAAGTAACAGCATTTTTGCCTACTACCAGACAATGCCGGCTGCCTTCACTCCCGAGGAGATGAGCCATGTTTATGGGCCGCTGAATTTATCACGACCACCAAAAAATCACGGCCGAGTAATAATGTCTCTGTAAAATAGTTGTGCAATGTTCCTCAGACATCAGTTGACAAATTGCTACGAGATATAATTATCATAAAATTAAAGAAACTCAGAACTTTCTGAAGCATTCCATTTAAGCGAGTAGATATTTGCATATTAACACACTAGCACATTTAACAAAGAGACCCGTTTTAAAAAAGCAGTAAAAAGTGACAAAAAATATTTAAAATTACTGTCACTAAAAGCTGCAAATAATTCCAAAACGTCAGTTAAAAATTTCGTATAGTTAGTAAGTGTTTAATTTAAAACCGCATTCAATTTATTTGAGTAGTCATGTTAAATAGGAGAAGTAAATTGCTCATTTGGGAATGTTCCAGAAATATTTAATTCATTCCTCTTAGATTCGTCTTTGTTAATATGAAATTTGTTGGTTTTATTATTTTTTTATTGGACCGTTTTTTTGTAAATGTATAAAAATTAAGAAAAATTTGGGGTTGCTTCAGCTAAAAAATTAAACGAATAGATTGCGTTTTAATTTTTGTAATATATGTAGATACTGGAAAGGGGTTACAGTAACATTATATTCCAAGTGTTGCAAAAATGTTATTAAATGATTCTTGAATCTGTCACCGCAATATGAGAAACCACCGTGTTGGCCATCTCTAGTTTGCCGACTCTTAGGCTGCCTCGCTGGCTGTGGCTGTGCAGTTGCGAGGCAAGATGAAGACCAAGACTGCGAAAGCATGAAGCAACATTATTCAAAAGAAAGCCAAGTTAAGGCATGCCAAACATACACACACTCACACAAACGCACACACACCGGTACACAAAAATACAAACAGACAGATAAAACTACATGGCAGCATAATGCAGAGACACAGCGGCAAATAGATGATGGAAGCAGCTAGGGGTGAGGTGGGCTGGTTAGATTGTTAGATGATGTTTGTGTGTGTGTGTTTGTGTGTGAGAGAGTGTGCGGCAGCTAGCACAGTTACAACTACAATGGCGGATCGGGCCAGGCATTAAACATCAGCAACAACAACAACAAGCACATGCCGACATTCTTTCTTTCGTACAACGACCTCGACTTTGATTTGTAGTTTTAGCCAACTGAAGAATTTGCTACTACGTGCTAAAGAGAGTGCGTGCGAGAATGAGAGAGAGAATTGCTGAAGAGCGTGGGCAAAGAGAGTGTTCGTGCAGCCCCAAAACTTGACCAAAAGTAGACAAACGGCCTCTAGACGACCTACACAAATGCTCCCACAGACAGACCGAAGCGTGAGCGACAGAGAGATAGACAGAGAGAGAGAGAAAGAGAGCCATAAGTCCAATACGAACGCCAACGTTGCGCTGCGCGTTGCGTTGCGTCGCTGCCGCAAGCTCGTGAGCGCCACTCGTCGGGTCGACGTCGTTGGCCGCATGGCATCGACGACACTTCGCTGCTTGGCTCGCTCGCCAACTCCATTCATTCGGGCTGCGCGTTTTGTCTGTGCCGGTCGCTAGTGCTGCTTGCTGGCCAACACTTTGCCCGCATAGTTGTTGCCGCATTTGTTAAACAAGCACACTCAAACATACACAAACATACATCTATACTAACTCCTAGCGCTCACTATAGACCTCTGTTCTTAGTGGTTGGTTGCCTATTCGAAGTGCAAAAGTACAAAATGAAATAAAATCAAAAACAAAAAACAACGCAAATAAAAGCAACAAAAGCAACGAAAATAACAAAGACCGCAGACATTGCAAAGAGTGTCAAAGTGTAATTGCCAGCTGTAAAGAGTGACGAACAAGTAAAATAAAATATGTAGCGACATTTAAAAATGGAAAAAAGCTAAAAGAAGCCGACGCCTGTCTGCTACAACAACAAAAATAATAAATACGAGTATATAAAAAAAAATTCAAAAAAGAAGTAAAATTAAATTGTTCAAAAAGCCAACACGACGTCATGCACTCATTCAGTCATTCAGACATTCAGTGATTTTGACAAGTCAGTCGTCAAGTTAGGCAGTCAGTCAGTCAGTCAGTCAGTCAGTCAATGAAAGCGTATGTGTCTCATATCGCAAACTAACACACACACCGACACATATTCGCACACACGCCAGACATTCGCACATGTACACGTCCGTCCAGCAAATGAAGCGGCGACGTCTCGAACAGTCTCAGCTACAGTTATCAAAAGCGCTGACGCTGCGCTGACTGCAGCGACGCAGACCGCAGGCAGCCGCTGACGCGCACGCCGACGCTGTCTGTATTTATATTTCATGTATGCAAGCTTGTTTTTTCTGCTTGCCTTCATTGTTGAGGTCGTTGTTGTTGTTAATGTGAGCAGTGCTATATCAGCTAACCGGATGTTGCACTCTGTGTGCCACGCCATCTTCATTAGCCCTGCCATGTAGTGGCCATCTTGGCCGGATTCGACAGAGTTGACTGCAATTTATTTATGATGCTGCCGATCTTACCTTGAACCGTAATTTTCACATTACTATCATCAGCTATCCAGTCCGATGCTGGGCCATGTTGCGCGCTTGCTAACTAACTGGCTTTGACTTTTGCCTTTTGTGACTTCAAAGTAAATGCTTTATTTTATGGCCGCAAATATAAAATGAAGAAAAAAAATAGCAAACGAAGAGGAAAAAAATGAATAAATCAAGCGAAATATTCTACAATACGTAAAAGCTTACTTCAATATTTGTCAATGAGCGCGCGTATAGCTTGAACTGAGCACCGAGCCCGAGATACTGGTGGTCTGCTAGCCTGACAGCCAACTAGCAAATGGCGCTGAGAGCGAGAGCAAATGGTAAGCGTAAAAAAACCTTACGATCTCACTGGCATGTTTGTTATTAAAGCTCAGTTCACACATGCAAATTATTTTTACCAAAGTGATGTTTGTTTCAAAAAGAAAAAGTAAAAAAGTACACAATTTTGTGTGAGCAGCATTTTTATCTGATCATACCAATAGTGTTTTTTCTTATCTTGTTGGTAATTAAATCTTACAATTAGCACATATATAGAGTTTTTTTTCGGAATTGGGGAATCAGTATATTTCTGAGTTCTGGATATCTTATTATCAAAGCATTTACAAATTGTTAGTAAAAAATCAAATAGTGAACTGTAGCATAGAGCACTCTACAAAGTAATCTGTGTTGATTTATTGGGATGTAGCTGGAATGTGGGAAAAGCAGAAATCATTTGTATTATAGTGCATGAGCATAAAAAATTTGGCTTAAAATTTTAATTGCTTTTGGAAGTATTTGAAGTCGAAGTAAATAAAGTAATAATTAACTAATTAATTAAATGATAATGGCAAGTGTTTTTAATAAAATTAAAAATATACAATTCGTAAAAAATTCTTTATCTTTTGGTAGAATATTTTGCCAATAGTCTCGATTCTATTTATTTTCGACTACCCCAAGTTTTTTTTTTTCGTTCCGCTTCCGATCAACGAATAATCATTTTAAATATGTAAAGATAAAATAAAAATCAGGTTTTTAATAGGAGGGAAGATGAAGGAATTGATGAAGCAGAACAGAAAATATTGTATTCTTTTTGTATGCATGTAAGGAGATTTAAAGTATTAAGCAACCTATTTACGAAAACGTCATTAATTTATTAGAATAATATGTAATTATTTTTGCATATAGAAACTCATTTAACTAATTTACTAAATTATTTATTCAGATATAAAATATCAATTTTGCACCCAGTTATATAGCGTATTTAATATAATTTGTTACCCACATAGCTTCTACTTGTATATATGAAATGGCCATTAAAGAGCCGCAAACTAGAGGCACGCTTGCAATGCCAGTTGCGCTCGCAAAATCCCCACACACGCCCTGGCCACAAGTGCCCGCATGTGGTTCAGCATATCGTACAAAAAACGATGTACGGGGCATGCTCGCAAATTGTGGGGCGCCACCCTCAAAGTGCGCTAATAAAACATTTAATTAAAACATTAAACGTCAAAGCGTCGACATCCACGCCTACGTCACATAATTAAACAGCGAACCACACACAAATACCCACACACACACACACATGTACGAGTAGAGAAAAGAGCTCCCATAGCAGCTGTCAAGCACCTGAATGACAGCACCCCAATAACAGATAGACTGACTGACAAAACCAAATACGCCCACTTACACGAACCCGAACACGGACATACACATACACACACACACACCGCACACATGCAGACGCCCTTTTTGATATACACTGACAATCATACTCATACAATCAAACGCTAATGCCCCCAGAGCGCACACGACAATTGTAGCACTAAAACTTTATCGCCCGCATTAAAAAACCATGGATTAAAATTCTACTCCAAATGAATGCGAGCAAGCCAGCGAATGCATACGAAATTCAATTCTTTTTTTTATGTAGCTTCCCTTCTTTTTGGAGCCCCCACATTTTGTCAGCTTTCTTTGCCCGGCTCTTTCGTTTGTAATAAAGATAAGAGCGCGAATTGCCAATCGAGGACTCTGGCACACCTGCAAAAGGTGTTGGCATTAGTGTTGGCATTCGCGTTGGCAAACAACTAAAACAACGGGCATTGTTCGACTGCCGCCGCTAATTGTGGTGCAAAAGCATTTTTCAAGCGTTTAACAATTTTGAGGAACAAAAACCCCCCAAAAATATAAATATATGTATGTATATGTATGTATATATACTTGTAGACGGGACCTAAAAGTCAGATAGACAGTGCAGACAATTTCATATAAAATGCATGAGCATGAAACCAATTCAATACTCAAAATACACGCCAAAGCAGCTACGCAGACAGCAGACAGATAGTCAGACAGACAGAGTGGTAGATTGGCAGACAAAGAGACAGATGGACGGTGGGACAGATGGATGGGATGTACATCGCAGCCATCGAGTCGATTCGAGTCGAGTAAAATGGATGTACGAACGAAGCCGTTAAATGCGGCAGACAGCAAACGGCAACAACTTTGCAGTAAACCGTGTAGCTGATGTCGTTGTTGGCGCAAAATCCAAATTACATACAACGACAACTCACGCTAACAAACTTATAGATACAAGATACTATGCCAAAACATGGCCAACACACACAAACACACACGCGCCAAACATAAAAAATTACCAAAAAAAAAAAAAAGAAAAAGTGAGGTGGATAGAGCGATATGGAGAGGGGGAAATATATCGCGAATTTAAAACAGTTTCGTTTCGTTTGGCAGAATTTAAAAAACATTTTCACGAAAAATTAAAAGCAGCCAGGATTGAGGGGGTAACACAAATACTAGTGGCTGGCAGCGGCAAAGTTTTCGAATTAATTTATTGATGCGACGATAAAGGAAAGAAGCAGAAGCAGCATCGGCATCAGCATCAGTAGTCAGCATATAAAGTCCAGAAAGAGCAGCATGGGGAGAAAAGAAAATTCTGGCCAGCAAACTAAAAGTGTGCGAGATAAACGTTTTATAGCCGCTATCATCAATGGCTGGCAATGATGGTAATGGACGTGAAGCTGGCTGAGAGTTCAGAGCTCAGATCGTACCGTCACATTCACTGCCAACAGAGTTTAATCAAATGCAGTAAAACATTTTTTGTTGGTGCTTTCAATGCTCACTGAATGAAATAAAAGTTGAAATACAGGACTGAATGCAGGACTGCATGCAAAGTATAAATTAAAAATACTTCTCAAGATGAAGTTGACGTTCTAAGAAATAATTCACTATGGTAATTGTATTTAAAGCTAGATACCTGTATATTTCAGCAATAATTTGGTGAGGTGCTCAGGCTAGACTCGAGTGCTCATTTATGCGAGATAAAAATCAGGCTGGTTGGAGGGGGGGGGGAATGATAATACTAGCAAGAAAAGAGACTCCCAGAAGCCAGCCCAGAAAACCAGTAGCTAAATTTAGAGCAAACTAAGTACATCAGAACTGTGAAGCAGTAACTAGACCGAAAATAAATATACAATATATTAACACTAGAGATCTAATACTCACAAAAATATGCTTAGAAATTTAATTTAAAATGTTATAAGTTTGATGTCAGTTTTTAATTTGTTTCATCAACAAAATTCTGCATTTAAGTTCAACTTTAGTTTTATCATCCAATCTTCCGTTGCCCCCCTACTGCCTACGCCCTTGACTCTGTACATGAAATGTACAAGAGTATACTAGGTTTGCGGGAGCTGAAAAATGTGACAGACAGAAGGAGGCGTGGCAGACCCCACAAAGTATATAAATTCTTGATCAGCGTGACACGACAAGTCGATTTAGCCGTGTCTGTCCGTCCGTATGAACACCTGGATCTCAGAGACTATAAGAAATAAAGACACCAAATTTTGCACAAAGATGCCTTCTGTGTGTACGCTATACAAGGTTGTTTTATTTTTGTGATTCCCCGATTTTCCATTCGTATAATCGCCTATATCTCAAATTTTAGTCCCAGATGCCTTATGGGAATACGCAGAAAATTTGTATTTTGGAATTTCCCTTCCTCCTCCCTCTCCCCCGCAAATCGTAACTCCCGTAATTCTTGGAATTTCGAACTCAAATTTTGGGGATATAAACATTATTTAAAGTAAATTCTAGTAATCAGCTCTTGGAAGTGTACAAATGATCGGTTGGTTATTATGTATGCCTAGTTTCACTATGATAGACCGATTTAACAAGAAGTTATGCCCATAAATATATTTGCTGCCCAAGCGCTGCCCGCAGTTGTTGTTGATGCTTTGGTTGACTGCAAACATGTTTACACATACACGAATAGACTCACATAGACGTAATTGCTTTGTATATGTGCAATTATACACCCTTTACGTGAGTTCGAATGCCGATAGAGGTAAAATCAATCCAAATTTGTTTTTTAATTTTCTTAATTTTTTTAATTTCTATAATTATTGTAAACAGAGTATTTTAAAGTCGGGACATCGGACTTTAGCTTTTTTTTAGTTGTTTTGTATTTTACAACCCCATTTCCAATGTTTCTATTTCGTTACTTATGTGTAACATTAAACCATAGGGAAAATTGCCGCCGGAAAAAGGTCTTATGTCTCACTCGTTTTTATACCTTTCCGTATCAATAATTCTTCTCATTCAATTAAAAAAACTGTTGTAATTACTTTAAGACACAAAAAATAAATAATTCAACACTAGGTTTGGGAACATCCAAAACTATTTAGAATTCTAATGTTTAGAATTGATGTTACTGATATATTTTTTCTTAGTGTATATACTTTGTTAATAAGAAGCTGATAATTTTTGTATATTTATTGAATGATCGGGGATATAAACATTATTTAAAGTAAATTCTAGTAATCAGCTCTTGGAAGTGTACAAATGATCGGTGAATATCACTTACCAGCATTTAAGGAGATATATCTGAACTGAGGAGCTTTGTAAGCAAGTAATTCAACAGTGAACTTGTGAGCACTGATCGCATCATTAACTGAAAATATATTACTCATGCGCACCGTTTCCAATACGTAGGCATTACGCATACGCCTTAAGTAAATGTACATTTTGTATTTACGTATGCGAACAAAAAAGAAATTCCCAAAAGTAAAGCGAAGCAACGTTGTATCTGATTAAAAGCGTATAAAAAGCCATACGACTTGGTCGAGTCGCACCTACACACACCTACCAGCAGACAGACATACAGATATATGCATATATTTACATACATACGTACACATTGGGGTGTCACAAATAAAAAATATGCACATACCAAGCAGTCATCAGTCGCTAAGTTAGAAAAAAAACCAAAACACACACACGCACACACCTAAAGCGTTTGCTTTTTTCTTTTTATTTGCTGTACAATTTA